TACCTTTACACCCTAACTTGTGATTCCAGCCTCAACTCCCACATCTCCACCCAATACCATGGCTACAAGTACACTTTTCATTGGTTCAGAGCACACCAAGTCTTTGTTCACCCTGCATCATTACAACTTGTGCTTTGAGAGCCTGTCATGATTCCCACTTCTTCGCTCAGAAAATATGAAGGGGCTTCAAAGAGTTCATGGGAAGATTCCATTATCTTTTAATTCCATTTTTTCACAAAAATTTTTAAGCCCCCTCATTCCAGCTAATCCTTAAAATCAATTTCAAATGCCATCACTCATATATGAAATCTCTCTAGCAGAGTTAATCTTTCCATGAACTCCAAAATCTTTGTTCCTACCAATTTATCACCCAATTAACTGTGGGGTCCTTGAATGAAGAGACAATATCTCGGTATAACCAATTCAAGGAGCCCAAGTGGCACAACAGTCAAGCACTTCACTACTAGTCAAAAGGTTGATAGTTTGAGCCCACCCAGCAGTTTGATGAGAGAAAAATCTGATGTCTACTTTCATAAAAACTCTAGAAAACTCTATGGGGTAATTTTACTTTGTCACACAGTCACGATGAGTTTAAAATCAATTTGACAGCTTCTAGAAACAATAACTGCATGTCCAATGCAAGCTCAAAATCCTCCACATAAAGAGCACTCAGTACCTGGCTTCAATGACTGGATTATCAGAGCTCAACCAGAAGAAGAAAGAAGAGGAAAAGAAGAGTAATCTGATACAATTTGATGAACTTGACCTACACCTATGGAAGCAGTAGCTAAAAAGAGGGAACAAATACTTACAGAAAGAATCATTCCCACCCCTCCACACACAGAGTAGACAGGGATGGGCAACTTGGACATTGGCTACCCAAAATGGGGCGGGGGGATGCTACAAAGGCAAGAAGTGACTGGTTTACAAGCTTTCCAGAGGGAACCTAGAGCCAGGGGGCATGGAGGAAGGCAGAATCTCCAATGAGTAGTATCCAATCTGTCTAGGCGGAGCTGATGAAATTGTGATACAATAGTGAATAATTGTTATCAGGACTGATTGTGAGGGTTGGAAATATAAAGGTAGACGTTTTATAGCAAGGAAGGGAGTGATTAACTTTCCAGTCTAGGAGCGTAGGTCCCTGGGACCATGAAGGGAGAAGAGCAGAAAGCGGGACCCTACCCAGAGAAGCAGTGATGCCAGAGATGGAGGCAGAGACAATGACATGGAGAGATGGAGTGGCTGGGGACTTTAGACCCAGAAAGGGAGAGGGGCTGTGTGCTGACGACTGGTGGGGTGGGGGGTGGTAGGGGTAGAGGGCAGGCTTGCAGGGTATACCCTGTGGTTGGCTGATGATGAATAGAGGGGATTGTAACCATGGCAATGAAACGATATATGATAGAATGAATGTATAACTAATGTTCTCCCACGTAAACTATCATATAATTCACAATAAAACATTTAAAAAAAAAAGCACTCAGTAAATGGTTAATAAATGGGTGAATACAAAATAGGTGAAGGCCACCTCATCTTTGTGAAAGTGTCACCCCTGAAACCCACCCAGATAATGCTTTGGTATAGGAATGTACCTAATGATTATACTTCTTTCTCTATGGCTTCAGCCAACATCACACATGTGGAGTGAATGAAGTCGTTTGCCTCAGGAGAAAGGTAACCTGATCTTTTGGGTGCAAGTTTTCAAAACTGTTGTTGTTAAGGCCATCAAGTTGGTTCCGACTCAGAGCGACCCTGTGTAAGGTTTCTAAGAAGTAGTTGATGTGTCTAAACTGCTAATCTTATGGTTAGCAGTCCAGTGTTTATCCTGCAATGTCACATATTGCAAAGCCCTACAGTTAGATTTCCAGGTGCTTTCGTGACTAAGCATAATTCAAAACCTCTCTGTAGGGAGAAACTGGGAAAGATTGCTAACTTGCCTTGCATAACCCAGACTGTATTTTTCTTTGCCCCTAAATTCATGGTAGGAGGCATGAAGGTACCCCCAATGAAGCTCATGTTGTCCCTTCCCTTAAAGGCACCTCTAAATAAAAGAGGATACAAACTGTTCTCTAAGAGTGAGGCTTTGGTCTTAGTTCCTGGAGCTCTGTTGTTGTTATGTGCTGTTGAGTCAGTTCCAACTCATAGCAACCCTGTATAGGGTTTCCAGGAGTTTGAACTGCCAGCCTTGAGGTTCATACCAGCCTTGTGGTCCAGTGTATTATCCAGCCATTCTTAAATCCAGATGCAAAAGACCCATAGCAATATACATGGAATTTCCAGGTATAAAATTGTAAACTTTCCAAGTGTAAAATTGGGAAGATGTTGTTGTTAAGTGCCGCCAAGTTATTTCCAACTCACAGTGACCCTGTATAGGCCTCATCTGTCTTCCAATGAGCAGCTGGTGGGCTCAAATCACAGACATTGTGGTTAGCAGTCCAGTGTTTATCATATGGAGCCACTGTGCTTCCCAAAATTGGGCTAGTCCCAGGCAAACCAGGACAGTGGATCAACCTCATTTGGCAAAACACCATGAATATCCATGCCATTTCCCCTAGTATACAGATAGATGCATTTAACCCAACCCAGTTCGTGAATCCAAACTTGACTGATGGTAGGTGAATGTGTTAAATGTTGCCTATTTATTTCCCCCTTCTTCTTTGTGCTACAACATTTTAGTTACAGTGATAGTTTTCAAACTTTACTGTGCACCAGAATGACCTAGAAGTCTTATTAAAACATAGATTGCTGGACTTCACTCCCTGAATTTGTGAATTGGCAGGTTTGGAATGAGCCCCCAAAGTTTGCATTTTTAACAAGTTACCAAAACATTGGTACTGCTAATCCAGTGATTCTACTTAAGAGCCATCGTTTTAGTGGTTTGGCACATTATTCTCTTCTAAGCCTCACATGCAGTGAATCAAGGGGTCGGTGGAAAGTATGAAGATATGAATCAACAATGTGAAGTACAGACTTTCCTAACAGTCAATCTAATTTTCTTTTTCATTTCTTAAAACCTGTAAATAATGAGTACAGTTCAAAAAGGAAGGAAGGGAGAAAGAAAGAAAACCCTCATAACCAAAGTGTAATATAAGAGGTTTAAACCTCCAGGCAAGTTTTTATAGAGCTGTGGGGGAGTTCTCTATTATGGGGTTTATTTTGGTGACTGACTACTCTGTCATCAAATAAGAAAACTAAGCATACTGTAGCTCACTTCTAGTGACATTTGGTTCCTCTTATGTATGCTTAAGCTTAACGACTGAAATATCCTTTGTACTCAGAGTCACAGCTCTGCAACGATCATTTGCTCTGGCAGTTAAACAGGAGAAAAAACTGCATTTTGATAACATTGTCTGTATTCTTGTAACCTATACAAACGTTTCTATGTAACTGAGTATATAACAGAAATAATAAAGCAATTCTATATTGTAAATATTCATTCTGTTCCACATGTCCAGCTTCTGCCCTTTTGGAAACATCTCCTGCTTCCAAACCATATTGTGGAAATATGTCCCTTATTTGCAAGGAAATGTTCCTGACTGCCCTCACTTAGGTATCAGCTTTGACCAACCAGAAACTGAGCTAAGAGGCTTTGGTGGTGGTGGTGGTGGTGGTGTTAGGTACTGTTGAGTCCGCTCTGACCCACAGTGACCTTATGCACAGCAGAATGAAACACTGCACTGCCTTGCACCATCCTCACAATCTTCGCTACAATTGAACCCATTGTTGCCACTGTGCCAATCCATCTCATTGGGGGTCTTCTTGTTTTTCAGTGGCCCTCCACTTTTCCAAGCATGATGTCCTTCTCCAGGGACTAGTCTCTCCTGATAGTCTGAAGTGTGAGAGGCGAAGTCTGTCCATCCTGACTTCTAACGAGCATTCTGGCTGTACTTCCAAGACACATTTGTTTGTTCTTCTGGTGGTCCATGGTACTTTTAATATTCTCCTCCAATACCATAACTCAAATGCATCAATTCTTGTACAGGCTTCTTTAACTACTGTTCAACTTTCACATGCATATGAGGCTATTGTAAATACCCTGGCTTGAGTTAGGCGCACCTTAGTTATCAAACTGACATCTTTGCTCTTGAACCCTTGAAAGAGGTCTTGTGCAGTAGATGTGCCTAATGCATCATTTGATTTCTTGACTGCTGCATCCATGATTGTTGATGATTGATCCAAGCAAAATGAAGTTTTTGATAACTTCAATCTTTTCTCCATATATCATGATGTTATTTACTGCTCCAGTGATAAGGATTTTTGTTTGCTTTACATGAAAATGCAATCGATACCGAGGTTGTAATCTTTGGTCTTCGTCAGTAAATATTTTAAATCCTGTTCATTTTCAGCAAGCAAGGTTGTATCATTTGCATATCATATCATAGGTTGTTAAAGAGTCTTCTACAAATCCTAATGCCATGTTCTTCTTCATATAATCGAATTTTCAAATTATTTGCTCAGCATACAAACTGAATAAGTATGATGAAAGAATATAACCCTGGCTCACATCTTTCCTGATTTTAAACCATTTAGTGTTCCCTTGTTCTGTTTGAGCAACTCCTCTTGGTCTATGTACAGGTTCCTCATGAGCACAGTTAAGTGTTCCTGAATACTCATTTTCTGCAATATTGTCCATAGTTTGTCATGATCCACATAATCAACTGCCTTTGCATAGTCAATAAAGCACAGATAAACATCTTTTTTAAAACCTGAGGCTTTGGTAGCAGAATTTAAATCTTGTAAGTTTTCTAGTGTGGTACTGTAGGATAAGCACTGGACTGTTAACTGCAAGGTCGGCAGTTGAAACCATCAGCCACTTCTCAGAAACCCCTTACAGGGTCACTATGAGTTGGAACTGACTCGATGAAACTTAACAACATCAACAAGTTTTCTAAAGGGATATATCTGAAATAGAAAACTTTATCATTGTGATGAATAAATAAGTCTCTAACTGGCCAATCTCAGAAGTCTACTTTTGATAATAATCATTTTGTTTTTGTCCCCAGCGTGCCGGAGGTGCCCTTGACATTCCTTTGTGTGCGTTCCAAGGAACTGTGTCTCTCCAAGCTCCTACTGGGAAAACCTTGTCTCTTTCAACCTATGAAGTAAGTGCAGAAGGCCAAAAAATTACCCCAGCGTCTAAGAAAATAGAAGTCTATCGATCCAAAAGTGTTGGCCACGAACCAAACTCAGAGGATTCTCCCTCCACTTTTGCAGACACCAATGTGAAAATACACTTGGAAGTCCTTGAAATCTGTGATAATGAAGAGGCCTTGGACACTGTGTCCATCATTAGCAACATCAGCCAGTCCTCTACACAAGTCAGGTCTCCATCTCTACGCTACTCACGGAAAGAGAACAGATTTGTTTCCTGTGACTTGGGGGAAACAGCCTCATACTCCCTCTTTTTGCCCACGAGTAATCCTGATGGTGATATTAACATCTCCATTCCAGATACAGTTGAAGCACACAGGCAGAATAGTAAAAGGCAGCACCAAGAGAGGGATGGCTACCAGGAGGAAATCCAGCTGTTAAATAAAGCTTACAGGAAAAGAGAGGAAGAAAGCAAGGGTAATTAGTAATCCTTTGGTCTGATAAAAGCTACAAAGGTTCTGCAACATCAAATTGCTAAACTAACACCTTTGTTCTGAGGCTATTATATTCCCTTTTTTTATTTACTGGTTTACATAAGAGAGCCTGATGATACCAGGGCTAATGCACTCAACTGCTAATTGAAAAGCCAGTGGTTTGAACTCACCAGCCAATCTGGGGCAAAAGGTACAGCAGTCTGTTTCTGTAAAGATTTCTTTACGGTTTGGAAACCGTATGGGACAATTCTACACTGTCCTATAAGGTTGCTAGGAGTCAGAATCAACTCACTGGCAGTGAGCTTGATTGTTGGTTGGCTTACAAACTGTATAGATTTGCTGGTTGATTATTTTTAGTGCCAACAGCTAAAACTAGTGCAAACACTTAAGTGCATTTGCTGTGTTATTTGTAGATCACAGACTGTGGTGATTAAGGGTTTATTTCTTATCAGATTTCTAAAAACATTTTCTAAATCAAATCTTGGCCTTGCTTACTGATGTTTTCATCTGTCACCCTCAGAGTAAACTGAGAATTGCATAAACCCAATGAATATACTGGCTCAATGTATGTTTCTGCACATAATGTTGGCCTTTACTGTGAGGGGAAGAAAAGAGACCATTAGGGGATAGCAGAAATACAGCAACACTTAGAGTTGTACTTGATGAAGTCTAAATGCAGTTACTAAAGCAAGCTTTTACAGTATTTACTTTACACTGATGTCTAGGAAATACATTTTTTGTGTTTGTAAAATGGCAAGAAGACTCCAACTTGGAAATACATGTCTATATTGTAAATAATTGTTTTCTTCGTTTCTATAAAATACAAGTTGTTTATTGTTTTGTTTTTCCTTTCTCTTTTAAATGTAACAATGTTTTCATTTAGTTTTTGGTTTTTTTTTTTTTTCAGTCATGTCAAGACCAGTTCTTTAAACAAATATGGTGTATGGTATAGGTAGAATTAGAAGCTGACTTTAACCCAAACATGATCTGAAAAGGTTGTAAATGTGCACTTCATCATTACTAGATTTGTTTTATTGGACTGAAAATGGAGGGGAAACACTGCCAAGTTAAATTTAGAGAGGGTCACTCAACTAGAGTAACCCACTTCTGGTAGAGCAGAAGAAAATCATAAATAGAAAGTGAAGTTGACTACTTCTAAAGCTGTAGATTTGGCAAAATTTCTTAGCTACTCTTGAAGCTTAGAAAAATTCAGTTCAAATTTTAGTTCTAACCCAGGTGCTTTTTAGAGCTTCTCAAGGAAAATGTGTATCTGAGGAAAAGAAACAATTCAAGGCTTTTAATTAAATGGTTTCAAGATATGTATTTAAAGATTATAAATGAATTTGGTTTTATGCATGCGGAGATGACTTTGTTAGAGTGTCACCAATGTATATTTCATAAATTACAAGTGTCTTTTTTTCAAATTATTTCCTTCTGATATTTATGCAAATACATATTAAATGCATTACTTATAGTAACTAAGTAAATGTTTATTTTCCAAAGTCATTAAGAGTCAACATTTTGCATGATGGTCTTCAATTTGGGACACGCCCACTTCACCCACACATTCATTTATTTATAGGCTGAGGGACTTATTTATTAGAATGATTTACTTTTGTTTTTATTTCTTTCATATTGAAATGTATTCTAAATTATTTGACATTAATTTCAGATTATATCTTCTTTATAGGATATTTTGTGGGGTATTGCTACCAAGAAAAATCATTTTCAAAACAATTATCTCAGTGAAGTTTCTCCATTCTCTCATTTAACCTTTTTTATACTCTAAATTTAGGAAACAAATAAGTGCCATTATTCATGTTTGAAAAACACACTTCAAATAATGCATAGCATATAAATTTAAATTCAAGTGTACACTCATTTATGAATGTATTTTATTTTGAAAAACTTTTATTACCAAATCTTAGGATTATTTAGCCTAAATGAACATGTCAATTTGTGCTTCAAATCAGTAGAATAAAATGTCTATTACTTAAGAAAAAACTGAGTTGAATATTATAAGAACACTTTGTTAAAGGTACATTTTGATATATTGAAACTAGATATATAATATTTAAAGGAGAAAGGTAATTTTGTTGCTTTAAAACACAATTTCTGATAGTATGGGAATTGGAAATAATATCATAATAAAACTAAAGAAAAATATTAAAGAGCCCATTTGAATGGAAACAAATCCTTTATAACTACAGAGAATTTTGAATGGTGGTGGTGGTGGTGTACATTTGAAGTTGGTTTGAACTCATAGTGACCCTGTAAAGATTTTCCGAGGCTATAAATCTTTATGGGAGCAGAAAGTCAGCCCCCTCTTTCTCTTGTGGAACAGCTGGTAGTTTTGAACTGCTAACCTTGAGGTTAGCAGCCCAATTTGTAACCACTATACTACCAGAGCTCTTTTGTGAATTGAGGGGATGAAAAGCAGTTTGAAGGGCATCAGAATTGAATTTGAAGACAATAACACCCTCTTTTCCATCTTGTCAAAATTGATTCCACCACAGTGGGTTGTTATTTCATAAAAAGATCACCATCTGGTGGCAACTCATACAAACTGCAAACATACAGATCTTGAAGCTCCTGTTTCTGAGTGCTGTGACTGATAAAGGCAAACCATTTTGAAAACAACAAACCTCACAGTAGCACATGAAATATAATTTTTTAAATTGCAAAAATCCTGTGAGACTTATTTTTGGAAATCATCAAGAAGGTAAGTGTGAATGCAGATGGATAGAGCAAGAAGCGGTTGGAGGGACAGACAAACAGATAAGGGGAGGGAAAGATGATCATTAAGTTCTTGCAAACCAGGTAAAGAACTTGTGATCTTACTCTAAATGAGGCAAGAAGCCAATAAAGTATTCTGAGTAAAGAAATGGTATTATCTGATGTCAAAAAAAATCACTGTTATGCAGGGAAAAGATTACACAGGTACAAAGATGACTTAAGGAAGATCAGTTTGGGGGTTATTTTACTAGTTTAGGTTAGAGACGATGGCTAGGATTGGAGGTGATGGCAAGCAGTCTGATTCAATATGCAAGAATGCATTACCTTTGTAAATTTAGATGTCTATTTATGATGCCTATGATGAGGGAAAACAAAGATCTCTAGCATAGATTTTCTGTTAGTAACTGGTTGCTGTTGTTATGTGCCGTGGAGTCAGTTCCGACTCATAGCGACCCTGTACAGGGTTTCCAAGGCTGTAAACCTTTACGGGAGTAGAAAGCCTCATTTTTCTCCCGTGGAACATCTGGTAGTTTTGAAATGCTGACCTTGCAGTTGGCAGCCCGATTCATAACCGCTAAGCTACAAGAGCTCCTTAGTACACTGGAATAGTCCCATATTTCTAAACTCATCTGCATTAAGCTTACAGAAGGGAGAAGGGAGTGGAGGATCCTGCACTGGAGTTTTTTAATGGGCTTGGTCTGGAAGTCCTCCACCTCAAATACTGCAGCTTCTGCCACTTGGCTAGAACTCAGTACACAGCTGCACCTAACTTCAAGGAAGCCTGGGAAATGCATCTCACTGAGTGCACAAGAAGAAGACAACACTAGACAAAAGAGCTACTCAGTCACATGGTCCTATCATACCAACTAGATAATTATACATTAATTCCATGGGTAGGTAGATAGGTAGATACTGAGTCATTCTCTGATTCATGGTGATCTTATGTAAAACAGACCACATCATTTATTTAATGTTGCCTAGTCCCACACATTCCTCATAACTGTCAGCATATTCGAGTCCGTCATTGCAACTTTTGTGCCAGTTCATCTCATTCAGTGTATCCCTCGCCTTTGATGACCCTATGTTTCACAGCACTTGATGTGATGTGATATCATCAGGAGGTCTCAATCATTAGAGGAGGACATCATAGAGGAAGACTGATATGATAGCAGAGTTCAAATAGTGACACTTGGTTTTATATGACGAAAAGACATTGCCACAATAGTGCAACACTGGTATATTTTCCCAAGTTAGTTATTTGGTGTTGACTGTATACTTGGGACATCAACACTTTAGTTCAGACTAAACTGTGCCAAGCTCAGGTCAGTTTTGTTATACATTCTCTTCTCCAGCTCAAGATATGAAAAAGAACATATCTGCAGATCTTTCCTACATTCTTGGGTTTTCAACTTCAAATATATAAGGAATACACATACATACATATTCTAATTGATGCACACACAGAGAAACACATATTCTCCCAAAGAATAAGGAGTCATTTCCTGCTATTAGAGCAGTCAAAACTCCAAATCTAGACAGACTGTAGTGTCATACAAAGTCCAGGACTAACAAAAGTACCCATGGCAGTCGCTGGTGAACAGAAAGCTGCTAGCAGCATGTCCAGCCACACTCCACACTCTCACCCACTGCACAGCCCCTTCTCTGCCTGAGTGAATCCAACAATATATCAAAACCCAATAATAATACATCAAGACTAAGGTGAATTCATATCAGGTATGCAAAGATGGTTCAATATCATATTAAAAAAACTCACCATAATCCAACACATAAATAAAACAAAGGAAAAGAACCACTTAATAAAACACAAGAACCACATGGTGTTGCACAAAATCCAACATCAATTTTTGATAAAAACACATCAAAATAAGAACAGAAGGGGAATTCCTTAGTATAAATAAGGAAAAAAAAAAAACCAACCACCACAGGTCTGTCAGTTTCTTGTACTCTGGTGGCTTGCATGTTGCTGTGATGCTGAAAGCTATGAACCTGGTATTTTAAATACCAGCAGAGTCACCCATAGTAATAGGTTTCAGTTAAGTTTCCAGACTAAAACAGACTAGAAAGAAGGAGATGCAGACTACAGCTAACTGTTCAGCCACTGAAAAACGTATGAATAGCAGCAGTACACTGTCAGCCTAAAGTGTAAAACATTATGAATAATAGAAGAATATTGTCAGACACAGTGCTGAAAGATGAGCCCCTCAGGTTGGAAGACACTCAAAATCTAACTAGGA